CTTCAGGGAAGGGAGAGAGGGGGGTGGCCACAAAATGAACCGAGTACAAAAAGTGCGAAAACCATTACGGTCATCGCGAGGTGGAGAGGCACAAAATGACGTGGAGCCAAGGTTGGTGTGATAGCAGAAGCCAAGCAAGGTTCGCACGATTGCCAGGTACTTGACGCGATGCAGCCCGATGGGGAAGAGAGGGCGGCGAGAGAGGGGGGGGGGGGGGGGCAGGGCGGCCACGAAATTGGCGCAGTGCATAAGTTGCAGATGCCCGTATCAACATCATACTGTGACATAGGATAGAAAACACGTTAAAACATATCGTGTTGGTATAGCGACGCAGAGACTCGTTTCGCTCGGTTGCTGATTCGTGCCAGAAAGCTCGACGGGAAGGATGAACGCTTCGGGGGGGGGGGGGTCGGCAACGAAATTGGCCAAGTGCAAACTTGCAGATACCCGTACCATCATCGCAACTTTGAAATAGGATTGAGAACACGCCAAAACGAAAGTGTCCGGTATAGGGACGCAGAGACTACTCTCGCTCGGTTGCTACATTTATGGAGAAGTTGTGCTCCTGCAGTGTATTTGGTCCTGTCACAAGCCGCGGTCTTGCAGAGATTCACCACTGCTAGGACTTACGGAATTCGTCGGCTCGTGTCTGAAGAAATCCATTGTTCTGTGACATTGACACAAACCATTTTTTGTAAAAGGCCTTCTAGCTTCGAGCGAGATTTGAGTGAATTGAGGGCGATTTCTTGCGTGGTTCAAGTGAGTTGAAACAAGGCCTTATTTGTTGGGTTATGATGCAACGCAAGTTCAGGTGAATTGACCTAGCCCCAAGCGGGATTTAAGTAAATCCAAGGCCTCAGTGCCAAGTGCGGGTATGAGTGAAGTCAAAACTCGAGACGACACAGGTTGGCAGATTAGTTGAATCAGTGTGATGCACGGTCGACCTGAGAGCATATTTTTTGCGGCTCAAGAGTGCAGTCGGACATTTCTAGGGTCACAATCTCCGCCGCACGCGTCTTGCTTCGTGTTGCACTCGACACCGTCCTGTGTGGCTTCGGAGGTTGGAAGGCATGGGGCTGTGAGGCAGCAAGGTTTGGAGTGCAGGTGCGCAGGGTTCTCTGTGGGGTTGCTGGGTTTCCTTCAGGGCTTTAGGTCCCGAGCCCTTTGGGTACCCTAGGCTGCCTTGCGTCCGGGATCCCCGGCCCTCCTCCCCGGCGCCAGGTCTGGATCTCGTCGCTTCGCTTCGACTCGCCGGACCCTCCCCTGCCAGGTTTCAGGGAGTTCCGAGGTGGTTTGGGTTTTCGTAGGCTGCAAGGTCGGAGTGCGCGAGGCTTGTGGTTTTGTTCAGGGTGTGGCTTCGGAGGTTGGAAGGCATGGGGCTGTGAGGCAGCAAGGTTTGGAGTGCAGGTGCGCAGGGTTTTCTGTGGGGTTGCTGGGTTTCCTTCAGGGCTTTAGGTCCCGAGCCCTTTGGGTACCCTAGGCTGCCTTGCGTCCGGGATCCCCGGCCCCCCTCCCCGGCGCCCAGGTCTGGACCTCGTCGCTTCGCTTCGACTCGCCGGACCCTCCCCTGCCAGGTTTCAGGGAGTTCCGAGGTGGTTTGGGTTTTCGTAGGCTGCAAGGTCGGAGTGCGCGAGGCTCGTGGTTTTGTTCAGGGTGTGGCTTCGGAGGTTGGAAGGCATGGGGCTGTGAGGCAGCAAGGTTTGGAGTGCAGGTGCGCAGGGTTCTCTGTGGGGTTGCTGGGTTTCCTCCAGGGCTTTAGGTCCCGAGCCCTTTGGGTACCCTAGGCTGCCTTGCGTCCGGGATCCCCGGCCCCCCTCCCCGCCGCCCAGGTCCAGCCACTGGCGTGATGCCACCGATGCGTCTTCGCGCGGCGGGCAAAAAGAGTGAGGGGTCAGGGGGGCCGAGCGGGAGCACCACTCGCGAGTCCCGGTCCCCCCTGGCCCCGCCTTGCGCATCGGAATGGCGAGGGGCAAAGCCGAGAACCCCAGCAACAGGCAAGCTGGGGGGAGGGCCGAGCGGGAGCACCACTCGCGAGTCCCGGTCCCTCCTCCCCGGCACAACGCGTGGAGATGGCGAGGGGCTAAGCCCAGAACCCCATACCCAGCGACGCGACGACGCATTATGATCTAGCTCGCTCGGGCCGAACCGCAATTATAGGTTTCCGTGCCTCAGCTATGTTTCACTATCGTAGAGTGTTTTTTTAATGTAAACGGTCAGGTTATGGGGAAGTGATGTCTCAAGACGGTTGTCTCTCACGGTTTCGGCCAAAATGTGGACCGGGTGTTGTTCGGCTTATGTGTGTGCTTCGTGTAGGGAGACTGTTGGACCAGTTTTGGTGTTGGAGTGCTCGTTCGTAGGCCCAAAGAGTGTTGAAAGGGTCTGTCAAGAATGACCGCTTGCGGTATGATGGTACATGCGGCGAGTTGGCTCTTGGCTCCTGGTCGGCTCCTCAGCCCTGGGAGGATAGTCACAACGGCAGCTCCCAGGAGTGCAATAGCTTGTGCTTTGCCGCTTTGGTGTGTCAGCGGGCGGCCAGCATAAAGGGCTCAGATCGTCAGCAGGTGGTAACCGTAAGCTGTTTGTTTTCTGGGGATTGTCGCGAGGTGGCAATCGCGAGGGTCGTGCTGGTTGGGCCGGGGTTTGGGGGTGCTTGTGGTTTCACTGCTTTTAGTGGGCCGTTGCATAAGCCTTCAAGCTCGTCGTCTGCCAAGTTGTCTGCTCCGCGATTGCTCTCTGTTGGTTCGGGCTAGACTAGATTGAGGCCTTTTATTGTTGAGGGATTGCTGGGGTTTGGTGCCCGGGTTTGCTGGGTTTCCTTCAGGGCTTTAGGTCCCGAGCCCTTTGGGTACCCTAGGCTGCCTTGCGTCCGGGATCCCCGGCCCCCTTCCCGGCGCCCAGGTCTGGACCTCGTCGCTTCGCTTCGACTCGCCGGACCCTTCCCTGCCAGGTTTCAGGGAGTTCCGAGGTGGTTTGGGTTTTCGTAGGCTGCAAGGTCGGAGTGCGCGAGGCTTGTGGTTTTGTTCAGGGTGTGGCTTCGGAGGTTGGAAGGCATGGGGCTGTGAGGCAGCAAGGTTTGGAGTGCAGGTGCGCAGGGTTCTCTGTGGGGTTGCTGGGTTTCCTTCAGGGCTTTAGGTCCCGAGCCCTTTGGGTACCCTAGGCTGCCTTGCGTCCGGGATCCCCGGCCCTCCTCCCCGGCGCCCAGGTCTGGACCTCGTCGCTTCGCTTCGACTCGCCGGACCCTCCCCTGCCAGGTTTCAGGGAGTTCCGAGGTGGTTTGGGTTTTCGTAGGCTGCAAGGTCGGAGTGCGCGAGGCTTGTGGTTTTGTTCAGGGTGTGGCTTCGGAGGTTGGAAGGCATGGGGCTGTGAGGCAGCAAGGTTTGGAGTGCAGGTGCGCAGGGTTTTCTGTGGGGTTGCTGGGTTTCCTTCAGGGCTTTAGGTCCCGAGCCCTTTGGGTACCCTAGGCTGCCTTGCGTCCGGGATCCCCGGCCCCCCTCCCCGGCGCCCAGGTCTGGACCTCGTCGCTTCGCTTCGACTCGCCGGACCCTCCCCTGCCAGGTTTCAGGGAGTTCCGAGGTGGTTTGGGTTTTCGTAGGCTGCAAGGTCGGAGTGCGCGAGGCTCGTGGTTTTGTTCAGGGTGTGGCTTCGGAGGTTGGAAGGCATGGGGCTGTGAGGCAGCAAGGTTTGGAGTGCAGGTGCGCAGGGTTCTCTGTGGGGTTGCTGGGTTTCCTCCAGGGCTTTAGGTCCCGAGCCCTTTGGGTACCCTAGGCTGCCTTGCGTCCGGGATCCCCGGCCCCCCTCCCCGCCGCCCAGGTCCAGCCACTGGCGTGATGCCACCGATGCGTCTTCGCGCGGCGGGCAAAAAGAGTGAGGGGTCAGGGGGGCCGAGCGGGAGCACCACTCGCGAGTCCCGGTCCCCCCTGGCCCCGCCTTGCGCATCGGAATGGCGAGGGGCAAAGCCGAGAACCCCAGCAACAGGCAAGCTGGGGGGAGGGCCGAGCGGGAGCACCACTCGCGAGTCCCGGTCCCTCCTCCCCGGCACAACGCGTGGAGATGGCGAGGGGCTAAGCCCAGAACCCCATACCCAGCGACGCGACGACGCATTATGATCTAGCTCGCTCGGGCCGAACCGCAATTATAGGTTTCCGTGCCTCAGCTATGTTTCACTATCGTAGAGTGTTTTTTTAATGTAAACGGTCAGGTTATGGGGAAGTGATGTCTCAAGACGGTTGTCTCTCACGGTTTCGGCCAAAATGTGGACCGGGTGTTGTTCGGCTTATGTGTGTGCTTCGTGTAGGGAGACTGTTGGATCAGTTTTGGTGTTGGAGTGCTCGTTCGTAGGCCCAAAGAGTGTTGAAAGGGTCTGTCAAGAATGACCGCTTGCGGTATGATGGTACATGCGGCGAGTTGGCTCTTGGCTCCTGGTCGGCTCCTCAGCCCTGGGAGGATAGTCACAACGGCAGCTCCCAGGAGTGCAATAGCTTGTGCTTTGCCCCTTTGGTGTGTCGGCGGGCGGCCAGCATAAAGGGCTCAGATCGTCAGCAGGTAGCAACCGTAAGCTGTTTGTTTTCTGGGGATTGTCGCGAGGTGGCAATCGCGAGGGTCGTGCTGGTTGGGCAGGGAGCGCATCGTTTCGCAACGTTGGGTCCGCGGTTCGATTCCGGCCCCCGCCGGGCAAGGACCCCGACGGCAAGCCCGGAGCGGCTGTGCGAAGCAACGGCCGCCTCATTGCATTGCTTGGTCTGTTTTTTTTGATATGGGTTCTGGGATTTTGCACTAGAGCTTTACCCCTTCTTCGGGGTCTTTTTGCCCCTTGGATTGTCGGCAGGCTCGCTCGGATTGGCGGCCGGCGGCAATTGTCAGGGGTCCGGATTGTCGGTCGGTGGCAATCGTGAAGGGTCCGGTGAGGGAGGCGTTGGATGGCTGTCACGGTCCCATCCTGGTCTGTGTGCCTCTGGATTGTCGGTTGTTGGCGTCGTGAGGGGGGTTAGATTGTCACTCGGATGCGCTGGGCTTGGTTCTGTGTGGCCAGTGCAGTACTCGGGTGCTCTTCCTTGTGCATGGCCAGGGCAGTACTCGGATGCTCTGGGCGTCATCCTGTGTGGCCAGTGCAGTACTCGGATGCCTTGGGCTTGGTTCTGCGTGGCCAGTGCAGTATTCGGATGCTCTTCGTTGTGTATGGCCACGGCAGCACTCGGATGCTCTGGGCTTCATTCTGTGTGGCCAGTGCAGTACTCGGATGCTCTGGGCTTGGTTCTGTGTGGCCATCGCAGTACTCGGTTGCTCTGGGCTTCGTTTTGTGTGGCCAGTGCAGTACTCGGATGTTCTGGGCTTCATTCTGTGTGGCCAGTGCAGTACTCGGATGCTCTGGGCTTCGTTCTGTGTGGCCGGCGCAGTATTCGGATGCTCTGGGGCTGGTTCTGTGTGGCCAGTGCAGTACTCGGATGCTCTGGGCATCATTCTGTGTGGCCAGTGCCGTACGCGGATGCTCTGGGCTCGGTTCTGTGGGGCCAGTGCAGTACTCGGATGCTCTGGGCTTGGTTCTGTGTGGCCATCGCAGTACTCGGATGCTCTGGGCTTCGTTCTGTGTGGCCAGTGCAGTACTCGGATGCTCTGGGCTCGGTTCTGTGGGGCCAGTGCAGTAGTCGGATGTGCATGTCCAGGGCAGTTCTCGGATGCTCTGGGCTTCATTTTGTGTGGCCAGTGCAGTACTCGGATGCTCTGGGCTTCATTCTGTGTGGTCATCGCAATACTCGGATGCTCTGGGCTTCATTCTCTATGGCCAGTGCAGTACTCGGATGCTCTGGGCTTGGTTCTGCGCGGCCAGTGCAGTATTCGGATGCTCTGGGCTTCATTCTGTGTGGCCAGCGCAGTACTCGGATGTTCTGGGCTTCATTCTGTGTGGCCAGTGCAGTCTTCGGATGCTTTGGGCTTCATTCTGTGTGTCCAGTGCAGTACTCGGATGCTCTGGGCTGTACTCGGATGCTCTTCGTTGTGCATGGCCGGTGCAGTACTCGAGTGCCCTGGGCTTCATTCTGTGTGGCCATCGCAATACTCGGATGCTCTGGGCTTCATTCTGTATGGCCAGTGCAGTACTCGGATGCTCTGGGCTTGGTTCTGCGCGGCCAGTGCAGTATTCGGATGCTCTGGGCTTCATTTTCTGTGTGGCCAGCGCAGTACTCGGATGTCCTGGGCTTCATTCTGTGTGGCCAGTGCAGTACTCGGAGGGTCTTCCCCAGCCCACAGAGCGCGCCTTGCTGCTCTCTCAGAGGCTTTCAGAGACTCACTAAGCTGCTCCAAGAGGGGTCTTGGCAGTGGGCTACAGCCCTCTCAGAGCCTTTCAGAGGGTCTTCCCCAGCCCTAAGCAGATGCTGGAAACGGCAAAGAAGCAGGTCAAACGATTCCTGGCACGGGAGAAGGCTTTGGGCGACGAGAGCAAGGTGGTGAAAGCCTTTCATTTGGACTCTGGAGAGCTCTCTCAGAGGCTCTAAGAGCTTTTCTCAGAGGGTCTAAGAAGGGAGAGCAAGGTGGTGAAGGCCTTTCATTTGGTCTCTGGAGAGCTCTCGCTGAGGCTCTAAGAGCCTCTCTCAGAGGCTCTAAGAAGGGTTCCCAGCCCACAGAGCATCTTGTCTGCTCTCTCAGAGGCTCTAAGAGGGGTCTTGGCAGTGCTCGGAGCCTCTAAGAAGGTCTTCCCCAGCCCACAGAGGAGCTTTTGCTGCTTTCTCAGAGGCTTTAAGAGCCTCTCTCAGAGGCTTTAAGAGGGGTCTTGGCACTGGGCTACAGCCCTCTCAGAGCCTCCAAGAGGGTCTTCCCCAGCCCACAGAGGAGCTTTTGCTTCTTTCTCAGAGGCTCTGAAGGGTGCTGGTGAGATTTTCCCCAGCCCACAGAGGCTCTTTGTCTGCTCTCTCAGAGGTTTAAGAGTGGGCTACAGCCCTCTAAGAGCCTGCAAGAGGGTCTTCCGTGCGGCCAGTGCAGTACTCGGATGCTCTTCGTTGTGCATGGCCATGGCAGTACTCGGATTCCCTGGGCTTGGTTCTGTGTGGCCAGTGCAGTACTCGGCTGCTCTGGGCTTGGTTCTGTGTGGCCAGTGCAGTACTGGGATGCTCTCGGCTCCATTCTGTGTGGCCAGTGCCGTTCTCGGATGCTCTGGGCTTCATTCTGTGTGGCCAGTGCAGTACTCGGATGCTCTTGGCTTGGTTCTGTGTGGCCAGTGCAGTACTTGGATGCTCTTCGTTGTGCATGGTCAGGGCAATACTCGGATGCTCTGGGCTGCATCCTGTGGGGCCAGTGCAGTACTCGGATGCTCTGGGCTTCGTTCTGTGTGGCCAGTGCGGTACTCGGATCCCTCTCTGGGCCGCTTTGCCCAAGGGCACCACAGCCCTCTCTGGGCCTCAGGGCACCACAGCCCTTTCTGGGCTTCCTTCCCAAGCAGCCCTCTCTGGGCTTCTTTACCCAAGGGCACCACAGCCCTTTCTGGGCCCAAGGGCACCACAGCCATCTCTGGGCTTCTTACCCAAGGGCACTACATTCCTCTCTGGGCCTAAGGGCACCACGGCCTTCACTCTGGGCTTCCTTACCCAAGCAGCCCTCTCTGGGCTTCCTTACCCAAGGGCACCACAGCCCTCTTTGGGCCCAAGGGCACCACAGCCCTCTCCGGGCTTCCTTACCCAAGAGCACCACAGCCCTCTCTGGGTCCAAGGGCACCACAGCCCTCTCTGAACTTCCTTACCCAAGAGCACCACAGCCCTCTCTGGGCCCAAGGGCACCACAGCCCTCTCTGGTCTTCCTTACTCAAGGGCACCACAGCCCTCTCTGGGCCCAAGGGCACTACAGCCTTCTCTGGGCTTTCTACCCAAGGGCACCACAGCCCTCTCTTGGCTCAAGGGCACCACAGCCCTCTCTGGCTTCTTACCCAAGCAGCCCTCTGGGCTTCTTTACCCAAGGGCACCACAATCCTTTCTGGGCCCAAGGGCACCACAGCCCTCTCTGGGCTTCCTCACCCAAGGGCACCACAACCCTTTCTGGGCCCAAGGGCACCACGGCCCTCTCTTGCTTACCTGGGCTTCCTTACCCAAGGGCACCACAGCCCTCTTTGGGGACCAAGGGCACACAGCCCGCTCTCGAGGCTGCTTAACCAAGAGCCCACAGACCGCTTGGGGTTCCAAGGGCACACAGCCCTCTCTGGGCCTCAGGGCACCACAGCCCTTTCTGGGCTTCCTTCCCAAGCAGCCCTCTCTGGGCTTCTTTACCCAAGGGCACCACAATCCTTTCTGGGCCCAAGGGCACCACAGCCCTCTCTGGGCTTCCTCACCCAAGGGCACCAACCCTCTCTGGGCCCAAGGGCACCGCGGCCCTCTCTTCCTTACGCAAGGGCACCACAGCCCTCTCTGGGCCCAAGGCCACCACAGCTTTCTCTGGGCTTTCACTGAAGGGCACCACAGCCCTCTCTGGGCTTCCGTACCCAAGGGCACCACAGCCCTCTCTGGGCCCAAGGGCACCACGGCCCTCTCGCTTCCTGACCCAAGACCACACAGGAGAAGCCTTTCACTCTATTTCTGGCTTCACTTGCACCCACGTGTTGAGGGCCCTTTGGCTTTGGGAGGTGCTTCGGGGCTCCTAGCCAGCCAGGTCTATGAGTGCGTTCTCTCGGGGGGCACTTACCCAAGGGCACCACAGCCCTCTCTGGGCTTCTTCCTTACCCATTACCCAAGGGCACCACAGCCCTCTCTGGGCCCAAGGGCACCACAGCCATTTCTGGGCTTCCTAACCCAAGGGCACCACAGCCCTCTCCAGAGAGCTTCCTTACCCAAGACCACCACAGCCCTCTCCCTACCCAAGGGCACTTGCAGATTTTGTCTGGGTGTCCTTACACAAAGGGCTCTCCTGGGCAAGGGCAAACCAGCCCTTTCTGGGATTACTTATGCATTGGGTGGGCCAAACGCACAGCCACTCTGGGACGCTTTGCACAAGGGCACCACAGCACCTATCATTGGGCATCAGGGCACCACCCAGCCCTTTGGGCTTCATTCAAAAGCAGCCTCTTTGGGCACACCAGTCCTTTCTGGGCCCAAAGGGTCTCTGGGCACTTTTCCCAAAGGGCACTTAATTCATCATCTGGGACTCAAGGGCACCAACGCCCTTCACCTCGGGCTTCCTTACCCAAGCAGCCCTCTGGGGCGTCCTTTACTCAAGGGCACCACAGCCCTTTTTGGGCCTAAGGGAACCACAGCCCTCTCCGGGCTTCCTTACCCAAGAGCACCACAGCCCTCTCTGGGTCCAAAAACACCACAGCCCTCTCTGGGCTTCCTTACCCAAGAGCACCACAGCCCTCTCTGGGCCCAAGGGCACCCTTCCTTACTCAAGGGCACCACAGCCCTCTCTGGGCCCAAGGGCACTACAGCCTTCTCTGGGCTTTCTACCAAAGGGCACCACAGCCCTCTCTTGGCTCAAGGGCACCACAGCCCTCTCTGGGCTTCCTTACCCAAGCAGCCCTCTCTGGGCTTCTTTACCCAAGGGCACCACACTCCTTTCTGGGCCCAAGGGCACCACAGCCCTCTCTGGGCTTCCTCACCCAAGGGCACCACCACGCTCTCTGGGCCCAAGGGCACCACGGCCCTCTCTTGCTTACGCAAGGGCACCACAGCCCTCTCTGGGCCTAAGGCCACCACAGCTTTCTCTGGGCTTTCTTACCCAAGCGGCCCTCTCTGGGTTTCCTTTCCTAAGGGCACCACAGCCCTCTCTGGGTCCAAGGGCACCACAGCCCTCTCTGGGCTTCCTTCCTGAAGGGCACCACAGCCCTCTCTGGGCTTCCGTACCCAAGGGCACCACAGCCCTCTCTGGGCCCAAGGGCACCACAGCCCTCTCTGGGCTTCCTTACCCAAGACCACACTGGAGAAGCCTTTCACTCTATTTCTGGCTTCACTTGCACCCACGAGAAGACCTAATCTCGCGCCCTTAAGAGAATGAATCTCATACATAAGCACGCATAAATATTCCAATATTCAACAAATATTATGTGGGAAATGATAATCGTAATTATATGGAGAAGTCCTAAGGAAATCAAGATTTCGTCAATTACAATAGCTAATAGTAGGCTTCCTTAGCCAGGGCCACACCAGCCCTCTCTGGGCTTCCTTACCCAAGGGCCCCACAGCTAAGGGCACCACAGCCCTCTCTGGGCTTCCTTTTCAAAAAGTTGTATGCTTTGGGAGTCCTGTACCACCCCACCTTTCCTATCCCTCCAACCCTAAGATTCCAGGGCACCTTAACCCGTTCGTATGGTAGGAGTGCCTATCGAGAGCCCTGCGTGCACCCTTTATGCTCTGGGCTTCATTCTGTGTGGTCATCGCAATACTCGGATGATCTGGGCTTCATTCTCTATGGCCAGTGCAGTACTCGGATGCTCTGGGCTTGGTTCTGCGCGGCCAGTGCAGTATTCGGATGCTCTGGGCTTCATTCTGTGTGGCCAGCGCGGTACTCGGATGTTCTGGGCTTCATTCTGTGTGACCAGTGCAGTCTTCGGATGCTTTGGGCTTCATTCTGTGTGTCCAGTGCAGTACTCGGATGCTCTGGGCTGTACTCGGATGCTCTTCGTTGTGCATGGCCGGTGCAGTACTCGAGTGCCCTGGGCTCCATCCTGTGTGGC